TTGATACAAAACTAGAGTCTCTGTGAGGCACCATATTGGTTCTTGAGTTTTGGGAGATTTTTAGACTAAATATCAAAACTGCTAGGCACTTTGTTATGCATTGTTTTTTGTTTTTTTCTGCACCCCATAGTCAGCTTGGTTGCTCTGATGCTAGCAGTCAATTTGAAACATCATGTATTGCAATGTTTTGTAGCATTTCCGGACAGTTTAGCCCAGAGCCCAGTAAATGTACGTCTGCGTTAGTAAGCTGCTGCCAGTGACAACACACCTTAAATGTTCCTATTGTCCCTTGCTTTATTTTTTATTATTATTATTATTATGATTTATAAAGCACCAACAAGTTCCATAGTGCTGTACAATAGGTGGACTAACAGACACGTATTTGTAACCAGACAGGTTTGACTCACAGGAACAAAGGGATTCAGGGCCCTGCTCAATGAACTTACATGCTAGAGGAAGTGGGGTATAGTGACACAAAAGGTAAGGGTAAGGTAGGAAAGTAGGTTGCTAGGATAGTATTCATTGAGGGATTAGTGTTTTGTTTTGATTACAGTTTCAGGAGAGGAATCAGGGTGCGGGTAGGGAAAGCTGTTCACAGTTTAATTGATATGCTTTCCTAAAGAAGTAACATTTTTTGAAGACGTGGGGACTGGGTGAGAGTCTAACAGAGAGGGGAAGGGCGTTCCATAGGAACGGTGCAGCTCTAGAGAAGTCTTTAAGTTTAAGGTGAGCATCAGAGGTAGGAGTACTTAGAGGTTAGACGTAGGTTTCCGGCAGAGTGTAGGGGCCTAGATGGGACATTTGTGTATTAGTGAGGATAAGTAGATCAGAGCAGCATTGTGTAGAGATTTGTAAGTGTCAGGATCTTAAATTGAACTTAATATCTTATGGGAAGCCAATGGAGGGACTGGCAAAGGAAGCAGGCGTTTGAGATGCGGACAGACAGTAAGATGAGCCTCACCGCCGCATTCATTATAGACTGTAACGCAGCAAGTTGGGGACACGTAAGACCACTGAGAAGCGGATTACATTAGTCAAGGCGAGAGAGGACAGCAGCATGGACAACCACCTTTGCCGTATCATGTGTAAAATAAGGTCAGATGCGTGCAATGTTTTTGAGATGGAAGCGGCAGGATTTAGAAAGGAAAGGCTTTTTTAAAGGTTTGCTGTGAAAACATATGTACAATAGTATTCTCGTAGCCTATAATATAAATATATATGTAATATATAGACATATTCATAGATGCCATAACTTCTAGGCAACAAAATATTACGGAATGCGTATTAACGGTGAAAGGTAACATTTGTATTGATCATTCCGTGTATAAAAGATTATTGTTTCTTTTACAGTAAATGGCAAAGAGGCAGCTGAAGTGGCACTTAATTCCGACTTTAAATGTATTTCAAACTTTAAATCACATTTCAGTGCCTGTTCGTAAGCATGATTCATCCAGTAAATGACTGCTCATATATTTTATACTGCAGTGGAATGACTGTTTGCAATTTTTTCTGACAGGAATATGGGGCAGAAACCAACACATTTCTGAATGGATCACATAGCAATGAAACAGGAGATAATATGGGTACATAAACATGTATTCTGTTTCAAAATCTTTATTCTACAAACACTACATTCTGCTAAGCAAATTGCATTCTGTCACAATACAATTTCAGCTGTTTCTGTTTTATTTTAATCTAAAAAAATGTACTTTAAAATAAGAAATATTTCACAGACATATTAATTCTAGAAAATGATGTAGTTATATATCCTGTTTTTTTTTTTACTGTAAAATAATGTTGTTATGTTGTAATTGAGATTGTGATATTGAGTTTGCCACACATGATTTAAAAGCAGATTATGAGTGAATATCAACAGCATTAAATACACATAAAACTGCTTTGGTAAATCACAGACCCAACTACATAAGGGGGTAAATTCAATTTAAGTTGGCTGTGTCATTAGAAATATACTGTGTACCATTACATAAAATTCTAAAAGCTGTCTATAGTTTTGAATATTTTTAGGAAGTAGTTTTTTGTTGTTTTGTTTTACAATCTTTATTTAAGTTTATTTTTCAAATAAAGTTTTTGTTTTTTTTTTATAATTCTTTATTTTATTGTGCTGGTTGTGTACAGGCGACCTGCATTGCCACGACAGCGGATGCAAGCGTTCCAATATACATAATATTACATTCGCATGGCAAACACTTTTCATGCACATTTTGGTATTATTGCAAGCATAAATTAGTTAAGTTGCGTACTGATTAAAGAAAACAGGTTATCTTGAAACAAAGCTAAAAGTGGTATACAGACCAGTTCGTGTGTACTGGAGGCAGTGTGCCATTAAGATAAGATGCAAGGCGTGTGGAGGAGCATGCAGAACTACAATATATAACAACCTTGCCTATTCTCACATAAGTAACCATGTGGAGCACCTTAGGTCTGAAGGTTTTAAAAACTATAGAAAACAGTGGCTAATCAGCTCAGCTAAACTATGTCGGCTGCCCGTCTTTGGAAGGTCATCGGTAAAATCATGGGTTGTCACAGGGCAGTAATCACTTTGAGCCTCTAGGGATCAGCAAGTATAGGACCTTAACATTTGTGGTTAAAGCAAAGAGGTGAAACACCCCTATTAAACTATAACTTAGTGCTGGGATCGATGATCGGGGTGGGGGGAGAGAGAAAGGGGTACTTATACCCCAGAGCCAGCAGGTGAGGATTTGATGAGACATGCCTCAAAGGACATCTATCTGCCTGCACATTATGCATGCTTGTGTACCTATTTGTCTAAGAAACAGTGCAACATATTTAACAATAACTTGGATAAAGGCAGTTCTGCAAGCATTGCGTGGTAGTGTAGGACAGTCAAGTTGTCTCGGTGGTGGCGTTGTTGTTCCGTTGAGTAGCCGGGACAAAAGGACGGATAGTGGCCAGGTCCCATGTCTGCGACTTTGGCTTCGGCACTGGTGGTTGCGTCCCCATCTCCGCGGGGGGGGTGGAGATCAAGTTGTTGAAGAATGGAGCCCATTTCGGATATGTCAGCAACTCTAAGAGTCTCAGTCTCGTTAGGTATCAAAAGGCTTCGTGGTGCTCCCCATCTGTAGGGTCTCCTATGTTGCGTCAGCACTGTGGTAAGTGGTCTCGTGGATCTCCGCCATGTCATTGTGGCCCTGGAGATGTCCGGGTAGAATGATAAGGAATGTCCCTCAAATTGGTAACGAGTGGTGTTGCGGACCGCTGACAGGAAGGCCTGCCTGTCTGGTCCGTGCTGAAAGCACACTATTACATCCCTGCTGGTTTGCTGGGAGTTTGCCTGCGGTTGTGGCAGCCTGTAGCACCCCTCCAGCAACATGGCTTTGGCCTGTTTTGGCGCTAATAAGCCGGATAGCAGTCTTCGGATGAGGTGGGGGATTTCTGCGGTTGTAACACTCTCTGCCAGGCCCCTCATTTTTACATTGTTCCAATGCCTACAATCTTCCATTGCTGCTACTTGGTGCCGGGTTTGGATCAGGTCATTTTTGGTCTTAGTCAGATCACTCTCAAGGCTATTAATGCGGGCCTCGTGTGCTGCTGTGTTGATATCTGTGTCATGTAGTCTCACTGACACCCCATGAATATCCTCTTTGAATGAATGGATGTCTGCCGCGATATGTCGGCGGAGATCATCCAAGAGGGCTTTCAGTCGGTCTTCAGTGACTGGAGGGTTGCTTTGTACCTGGGTTTTGCCTGCTCTCTGTGTCTCCGCCATCAGTTCCAGGTTGGAGAGTGAGTCTTCGCTGGATGATCTGGACGGTGCGTCAGAGAGTGGCGCCATGACAGGTCTCAGGGATGCTTGCGACCTCCACAAAAGTTCGCCGATATCGGCGGTATTGGGGTGTTTTTCCATCCAGTATTTTTTGCTTTTGCGCCCCGTCGCCTTACGAAGTTGGTAGGGCTGGTGTGGTAGGGGAAATTGGGCAGGAACAGCTTGTTTTTCCCCGGTTTGAACGGAGTTCCCGAGAGACACATCCGTTCTGTGCGGTTGCTGGCTCCGCCCCGTCTCAAATAAAGTTTTTATATAACATGCCATAAAATTGCGCAATATAATGTGTGGTGTTTACATTAGAACAAGGTGATCAACCCCTCCCACCTCCCACTCCCCCATCAAGGGTAGCTATTCGAACAGCTATAGTTATCAGCTTGTATTTGGAGAAAGTGGTGGTGGTCTGAGAACCCATCCCCGTACAGGATTGTGTTGGTTTGACAGTTTGTGGTGCGTTGTCTAGGGCACGGCCACCAACAGGTAGAGAGCATACGTGTCTTATAATGGGACCAAAAAGAAAGAGGTAATGATACATATGGAATGAAGTACTATATGAATAACCATTTTGTAGCTGATTGTCGGTCGTGTCTATGTACCGTGTTTTCATGCGGTCGCGATTCACTCAAGCGGTCTCGTGCGTGGGAGGGGTCATGCGCATATGGCAGAGTTGGATATATTGATGGAAGCTGGCAGTGTCCGCCCTCGGGCCGCTGCCGGATACGATCCGTCTGCCAGTTTAGCGTTGTTGGGTGTTATGTTCAGGGATGGGGCGGGTGGAGTTAGGAGGAGGGGAGCAGGAGAGGGGAAGGATAGGAAGGAAAGAGGGGGAGAGAAGAAGTGAGTGGTGATAAGAGAGAGATAAGAAAAAAGAAAAGAGTGGGAAGGGAGGGCAGCAACCCGTCAAGTGTATAATCTCAGTCGTGTGAGGTTCCGGTGGTGTGTCGTTCAGTTAGGTTCGTTCCTCCTTGAGATGTCTGTCCATAGGAACCAAGTTGCAGCGCATTTGTCTGTGTGGTCCCTCAGGGCTGCAATTGTCATTTCTGCACTGTAGACTTCCTCTACTCTTGAGACCCATTGCTGGATGGTGGGAACTCCCGACTGTTTCCATAGGGAGGGGATCAGTGATCTAGCTGCTGTGAGGAGGTGTTTAGTGAGGGATTTCTTGTATGTCGCTATGTTCATGTTTATGTGGTTCAGGAGCATTGGGAGCAGCCGGAGGGGGAGATCCGAGTCTACGATTTCATGATTGGTGGTGTGCACCATTTCCCAGAAAGATGCTATCTGTGGGCAGGTCCACCATATGTGTATTCCTGTCCCCTTGTCTGTCCCGCATCTCCAGTAGGTTTCCGAGATGTCGCTGTTCATGAGGTGTAGGACGTCAGGGGTTCTGTACCATCGTGTCAGGAGTTTGTAATTAGTCTATTGGTGTCAAGCTTTTGTGTGTCAGTATATATATATATATATATATATATATATATATATATATATATATTTTCCCATTCCTGCTCTGTGTTTGAAAGGGTTAATACTGTTCTGGACTCAACTCCCCTCGATTCTCGATTCTCCGGTCACCACATCAATTGACGGGAGTTCTTGTTTAGCAAATAACGACAGACACGAAAGAGTGCTCTAACAAGTTCTCAATGAGTATATTTTCAAAGCTAGCATTTATACACAGTTTGTCACGCAAGCAGCGAGATTTATCACTTCCTTATAGTTTAAAGTACATACTTCTCTGACATTAAAAAGATAAGCATTTGAATAAAGATGGGACAGGAACATCCTGAGGTCGAGCGAGTTCATACATCCTGTAGAAGGGAGGCCTCTCAGAGTTACAGAATACATCTGCCAAGGTCAGCATAATTATTTCAAACATTATTTTAAAGCATATAAAGCAAAAAGAGTTAACTATTTCATATCCTTACATTCCCCTCTTTGAGCAAAACTTGCTCATATTATCGGTTAACATTCTCCCAGGACAGAGAAACTTCCACATTATGGCATTCCTAAGCAATCATGTGGTCTACAAGAAACAGAAACTCAGCAGAAAAAAATACACTTAATACTTTTGCAGATAGATATATAGAAAATGGATGTTTAAGACAAAATGGAACTTGGGCTTATAGCAAATATATTATTGCAAATAGCTGACATGTTAACCAATTTTAAACAGACTAACCAGCCGGTCATCTGTATCATAAGCCCTGGGTAAATATGGGCAAAGTGTATTATTCCCAACAGTTGTTTTCCTCCTTCGTCCATGGAAGTGGGCGCATATAGTCAAAGTGGGAATAATACCTATCCCCCGTCCAAGGACCGGGGTCTAGGATTACCAGTCCACCCGATGATCTGGGGCCAGGGAAAAATCCCAGTGGCAAAAACTCATATTTGAGGAAAAAGCACATCTGGGGAAAACCTGAGTGGGGGCCGCGATCGTGTCAGACATGTCATCCCCTCACAGTTGACACCACTTGTGACTTATAATACCCGCACCTGTGAGTACATAGCTCGGGTATCGGGAGGAATTGGGAAACACTTCTTACATATTAATTCATGAGATAAATTATAATCTAGCTTGAAATTCTGACAATAATCACAAGCAGGACCTTGCGTCCTATATCTTATTCCAAAGGTCCAGTCAAAACCAGTCATATCCTCACGCAGTTCCTCAAAACACGGGAATCCATCCTTGGCACACTCAACATATATCAAAGACACACATAGTACATCCATCCCTGGGTCAGCTAACACTTCCTCTCTCTCCGGCTAACTCTACAAAAATAAAAATAGTTCAATAGTTCAGCATAGTTCAGAAAAATAGAATACGTCTTTCACAGAGTATAAAGAAATCAGTTTAGACACCAGACATTTTGTTCCATAAAATGGCTAAGGGTAGCAATATGGCTGACAACAAGACAATGTCAGCTTCCATAGTTCTTCTTTTGTTTGCTGGATTTTCACCACAATGCTCTGTGCAACACCCCAATGGTTGAAAGGGTTATTACAGATCCAGCGGCATTAGACAGCACTGCACTTTCAGGACTTTCCAGGTTCTTGCATGCAAAGTTTATGTCCTCATAAGTAAGTATCTCAGTTTCTTCGGCCTGCATGGATTATGACTAAACAGATGTAATTGTAAAATACTTATTGCATGGTCAGCCAAAGAGATTGGTGTGTAGTCCCAGAAATCAGGTGGCACAAACACTCCAGGACGGTCTCTACAATCATACAAACACAAGGATCAATACAACATCAATTAATTAATTAAGATAAAAATGAGACAGCGCTAAGTAACTTATAGGCAGCAACCTTTTAAAAGGGGATCCCTCAGACCCTTTAGAACTAGATAAATAGAAACAATAAAAAAAGGCTGCGCGCACAAATAAAAATAAAGTCCAATTAAAAAGAAAGGAAAAGTCCAACTTGTTTTTAATTGAATTCTACTCAGTTTTTAATTGAATTCTATTCCTTTTTAGCTGTTAGTGTTAGTTACTAAGTTTAAAACTACATCCCCCAGTAGGCATTTCGGCTATAACTTCCGATCTCCGTCTATTATTCATATTTATAGCTTATAACCTTCGTTTTGTAATGTAAACCCCTGTAATGGCATCAGACCACTTCTAACTATCTATAAACCAAATGTCTTTTTATTTTATATGCGGCCGCTGGTCGCGGCCAAATCCGACTACATCCCCCATGTGGCATTGCGGCTTAACTTCCGAAATGCGGAAGTGCCGTATGTCACGTGATTATCTTTTAATGTTTAAAATTATACTTTCTCACCCTCGTTTTCGATTTTTAATCATCAGAAATAAGTTATAACACTATAAACTGTATATTGATTAAGTTATGGATATTTTAAAGTTTTAAATATGTTTTCATTTCTGATTGGATGGACCAATTTTTGGCGCCAAATTTAAATTAGTTATGCTCTTATATAACACCTACAAGCCAGGTATCACTTGTTATTCCATTTGAAAAAGTCTTTGACGAAACGCATTATGGAAATTTAATTATTGTGTTTGTAAATATATTAAAGTATTTTTGGTCATTTGTTTGTGCCAATAATCTTTTTTATAGACACATAACCTTTCTTTTTTACCCTGGCTTTTTAAATTATTTTATTTATTTTTTATTGGTTTTACAAAAACCTTGAAAATCCCTGGAAGTTTCCTGCACTTAAAGAAATCCTAGGTGGGGATAAATCCACCCAAGCTGCCATCACGGAGCAGTTGGTCTGCTCTTGTTCTGTAAGTACATTCTTTTATTATTTTATCAATATTGCTATACAGTGAGCACTATTGGCTGTTTCTTTTATTTCGAGAACTGGACACCAATCACAGAGAGGAACCCATTTAAATCCTATAAGCGGGGATCAAACCGCTGTATGTGCTTCATTCCAGAGCTAGGACATTAGCTCTGGTAAATGTGAGTTTTATACTATTATTTCTTCACGTCTACATTAGAACTTTACGTATTGCACTATTGGTTGTCCTTCTCTCCCTTTTTATCTTTCATATAAGTGGAACCACTACAATAGTAGAAGACGTCACCAGCAAAGACCATTTGTAAGGATAAAACAGTTGGACTTTTCCTTTCTTTTTAATTGGACTTTATTTTTATTTGTGCGCGCAGCCTTTTTTTATTGTTTCTATTTATCAATTAATTAATTACCTAGGCTAAAACTTAAATTAGAGATTAAGGTTAAACCCTTAACTTGTGTAACATGTACTTCTCTTATCTTTGCTTATATTTTATGCAATCTGTCTTCTATGAAGTTTTACATAATATCCCTTTGGAATGCCTTTGTACAGATGAGAGAAGCACTCACTCTATAGAAATGCTTGTTAGGATGAATATTAAAACACTAACATATACATAAGGGGATAATTCCCAATAAAATTCTGTTCCTAAACTTGAACCTTGATTTGATACTCAAAATTAATTACTTTAATAATCACGAATAATTCAATACTCTTGGATTAACACCTAAAACTATATAAAATATTAAAAACAAGAACCATCTCTGTTTTAGGCAGGGGTTGTTGGGTGTGGATATAGGTTGGAAGCTGTGGTTGATATTGAGGAATCTGTGGGGGTGGGTTTGGGCACTCATTTTTCCAGTGACCCTGCTATCCACAATTAGAACAGTGTGTTCCACCCATGCTGAAGTTGCTACCTCTACAAAAGTTAGACCCTTTGACCAAATCCTCTACCTCTGCCTTTAAAACTTTTCTGATTCAATCTCCTATCACTTTCCAAATGTATTTGTCTCGCCTGCTTAGGATCACAATCCTTGTGACTGATACAACATACCTTTTCCTTCTTTCTTTCTATCAAAACAACTTGCTGTATCTTTCTCATGAATCTTCCCAAGAAATTCATTTGGGGTCAAAAAGGGCCAGTCACAGACCAACAAGGAACAAAAGTGAACAAGGAGGAAGCATATTCCATATGCAGCTCGGGATTACCGAACTCACACCCCTCTTTGTGTACCCCTCTTTGTGTACCACACAGATATAACATTAATAAGCTTTAAAGGTTTAATGTATAGTTAAATTGTGTATATAAAGCAAGGTTGTCTAGGGGTATATTCATCGACAATGAAAGCATAGCCTTCATATAGGGCTTGCAATACTGACAGTCTGTGTCATGAGCGTAATGCAGACATGCCGTTAGGTACTTTTCCATTGTTATAATATATTGAAAACACTAAGACTTTGCAAATTTTTAAAACGCATATTGCTTCCTGTACCTGGTGCCGTGCAAGGATGTAGTTGGGACATATTTCAAATTGAGTATCAAAAATCACAAAACTAAATGTTATACGCTTATCAAGAAAACAAGTTTAACCCGTTAAAGTGCGTACTTTGGATAGCCTCTTTGCATAATTTGGCTCCTAGAGAGATTATTATATTATTTATTAATCCTCTTCTGGATCTGCAAAATGCTTTCAATTTACCCATACAAATATAATACAGTAGTTTAGTAGATTAGGATTACCTCACTTATACATTTCAGAAATTGTCTAATCTCTATTAAAAAATACCATTTTATTATTACCTCATAGTCAATGAGGCATACTAGATGAATCTTACTTTGACACAAACAATGCAATATACTTTAAAACTAGAGTTACATAGTTACATAGCTGAAAAGAGACTTGCGTCCATCAAGTTCAGCCTTCCTCACAAATGTTGTTGCTGTTGATCCAAAAGAAGGCAAAAAACCTGGTCTGAAGCGCTTCCAATTTTGCCACAAAGTAGGAAAAAATTCCTTCTTGACCCCAAAATAGCAGTCAGATGTCTCCTTGGATCAAGCCGCTATTAACCCACTAATTAGAAATTATATCCCTGTATGTTATGTTTTTGTAAGTATTTATCCAATTTCAGTTTAAACATCTGTATGGACTCTGACAAAACCACCTCTTCAGGCAGAGAATT